GGGATCTCATCAACTTACAGCTGAGCTGGCGAGATGTAGCCTTAAATTCTATGCTAACAGTTTCTTTTCTTGCACTTCTTCCTTGTGGAATGGCATTCTGACTACATTCTTCCCAGCCTACTTTAATTTGCATAAATTTGAATTCTATGTCAATAGTTATCTACAGTCCTCCTGATTACTCTTTTCTCTTCTCACTCATTATTAATGTTTCTGTTCCTAATTCTTCCACACACAATAATCCCTTGTGGTTTTACTGCCTTGTATCAGGAAAAACATGTCAAAAAAAAGTCTAGATGAAATTATAAGTAAACACATTTACATTCTTGGGACTAGTAGTCCCTGGATCCTTAGCAGATGTAAACAGATGAACAGAACATCAGCATTTGGTAAGCAAAAAAAGATATGGCAGTGGGGGGGGGGAAGAAAAGAGAAAATACAGAAGAGAGAAAAAGAGAAGAGAAAAGATTCAATATCTCTTTTCTCTTCTACAGAAGAGATATCTAATGTTATCAAAATAAGATTATTCTATGCATTAATCATTCTTTTTTTTTTTTTTTTTTTTTACAATGGAGTAATATGGAGTCTAAAAGAAGATGATTGTAGAAAAAAATGTCTTTGAGAATGACTGCCTTAGTGCATGGTTTTCCAACCTAGGCAATATCACCCACCAGTGGTCAAATTCAATTGTTCATTGGGCGACGAGCAACTAAACAGAAAATGGTGGATGATTGGAAATTATGCTGGGTGATGTAAGATTTTGAGTATTAAAAGGTATTTCCACATATGCTACTCAAAAAAAAATATTCAAAGTTTTGAATGTACGCTCTTTAGTGCAGGAGTGCATTGTCAGTAATGTTCTGAATTGGGTCATTGGGCAGTTTCGAGTCTTTCAAACATCATACTCCCTTCACCAAGTCGACCTCATCAGAGCTGATCAGTCTCTGATGCGTCCCCATTCTAAATTAACAGCATGCAGACACTGACTTATATTAAGCAAACCCTATTCCTCTGTCACGTATTTGATTGGAAGTTGACCAACAGCCAATCGCAATGGTGTGAGCTCTATCTAAGTTGTTTACGGGGGATTTTTACTTTTTCTTTTTTATGTGGATACTCATCGGATACTTGGAAGGTAATTATGTGTTTTCCAGGTTTTTTTTCAAGTTTCATCTCCCCAGCTGACAATTACTGTTAGTAAAAAAAAATTTAAAAAAATAAAATAAAATTATAAAAAACATATGTAAAGAACCTATATTTAAAAACGAAAACAAACGACTAAATAGGAATAATGGAGTAACATTCCTAGATAAGATATAAATATCCCTGCAAACATGGAATATTTTAGTATAGTTTTGAGAAGGATCATTAACAATCAAATAGTTTTTCAGACGAAATAACATTTTCTTTGGATATAAACCAAGGGAAGACAAAACCAACTTTATCAGTGAAATTAAGAAGTGACATCAAGATAATTTTTTATTTAATCTAGAATTGTTTTTACTTTTTCCTCATATTGGCCATTTCAAATGTATCAAGGTAAGAAAAGTACCTGTCAAATCATAATTTACCAATCATTGTATGCTTTTGAATATTTAATGGACAGGTGAGCAGTGTAAAATTTCTCCATGTGAAAGTGGATGAGGACGCAAAAAAAGGTTGGGAAACCCTGCCTGGTTTAACATGCAAATGTTGAATCAAAATGGACACTATTAGAAAAGAAATATGTTAAACAAATAGAATTACTTAGAGAAAGGAGACATGGTAGAGTAATTGATTGCAACCCAGCTTGAGGGATCAGAGACCCATGTTCAAATCCCAGGTTGCTTTCATGAGCCTGCAAACCACACAGAAGTCAATTGTTTATTGCAATCATTATTCCTTTTTATGGCTGTGCATTGTGGGGTTATAGATAATGGATTGAAATGAAAAATTGGAAAGCTTAGTACAAATTCCAGTTAGGTTCATTATATTCACTTACACACAAATACCCTTGGGAAAGGTATGAATCCATCTCTTCTCCCAACCCCACTATGGGTTAAATAGTAGGACAAACTGGGTTCTATAGCCTTGGTTAGCAACCATACTACTGCAAAAAGAAAAAAATTACAGGAAAATCTACCTAGTCTGTGAATAATTTAGAGAGACATGATCATCCAAATGCATATCACATATGGTACTTAACTGACAGATTTCTTTTATATTTGCTAAAGAGAAAAATAAATCCATCTCTTCTCCCTCGCCACCAAACTATTGGTAAATAGCAGGACAGACTGGGTTTTAAAGCCTTGAGTGGCAACCAAGAAGGAAAACTCTAAATTCAAAACTATATGTAGCCTTGGTGAAGCATATACTATGCAGCTAAAGAAAGGATCGTTTGCATTGACTTGATGATTCTGACTATGGTCAATTCCTTTTTAGAGTAAGGACTGGCAATTAAGCTGATTCAGCCATGAAGTTAAAAAAAAAACAACCAATTATGCACTTCAAATATTTAAAAAAGATTTTATTGCTCAAAGAGCAAGGGGTAAACATTCCAAATGTTGGAAAGACCAAATTAACTAAGATATCAATCTCCTTTTGCTCATGACAAAAAGAATGAACAAAAGTCCTCTCAGGGAAGAACCATGCCTTGAAAGACTGTTGGGCCTCAAACTCACACCCAACCTCAAGTGGAACTCTTACATACAGCACATTGCTAGAGATGCAGGTAAAATGTTCAGTAAGTACCTGACTTCTCCTGCTATCCTTTATACGAGCCAGATCAGGACAAAAATAGAGTACTGTTGTCAAGTTTGGGCAGGAGCTGCCAAGACCTCACATCTCCAAGCCCTTGTGGCAACCCCTTTCCCACAGGCGGGATGTAGCAAGCCTCTTGCTGCTCTACCACTACTTCCATGGTAAGTGCTTGGATGAATTACATTCAAACCCTCATGACAAGAACATGCCATGCCACTAACATAGTAGCCAACCACCCACATTCCCTCCATATTCCTTTAGTGAGAAGTAAGTTCCACTCGAGCAGCTTCTTCCTGTAAACCACTGCCCTGTGGAACCAACTCCCAACAGGATGTTTCCATGATCACTACAATCTTAACCTCATTATCTCCCTCATCTATACACATAAATGGTCTCCAAATATAACTCTCTACCTCAAGTGGCCTTCAGGCCTTGTAAAGGATGACCCTCACTAAAAAAAAAAAATAGTCAAAGAGATTGATAGAAACATCGTGTGAACAAGATTTATGCAAGGATCTTGTAATGGATTATGAAGCTAATAATAAAGAAAGTTTGTACTTGTATCATAAGCTGATAAAGGTTTATTAACCTTTACTAAGTTAATTTCTTTCTAGAATTGTTTCCCCTGCCACTGCATTTTTTCGAGTGTGCAAAAACATGAACACCTAATGTTTTAAAATTCTTATAACTTTCTTTGTATTGTGCGTATAGATTTTAATTTTTGTATACTAATAAAAGAATGAATGAGTAATATTTTGATGTAATGCATTATGTTTTGCATGCATGTTTCAATGTTGAAAACAAAAAATCGTGAAAAAATTAACATTCGTTTAATCGATGTTAACTCCTTGTGTAGAGTCTTGAAGAATTTAAAATAGTGATAGAAAACAGAAGTTTAGCCTTGTTCCAAAGAGTATGAGATTTCCAGCTTAAAATACCAAAAATAACAGTTAACAAGTATTTATTTTTTTAAGACATTTTTTTATGTTTATACATTCTTTTTATAGATACAAATATTTAAGTAAATACTCTGTTTATAATAAACAGTATTAACAACATTTACCAGCCTGAATGTCCAAGAAATTTTCATAGAAGGACATATGAGAACATATATTTTCTATGAAAATTTCTTGGACATTTCTAAGACATTCATTTGGAGAAGAAGAGGTGGATTTATATCTTTCCCAAGGGTATTTGCAGGTATGTAACTATAACAAAATCAAAAAGAATTGAAACTCTACTCTCTGATTAATGATTCCAAGCAATTATCAATTACATCACCTGCTCTTCTAAGGTTAGAACACTAGGTATCCCCAGTCATCCATCTAGGTACTGACCAGGTTCAACGTTGCTTAACTTCAGTAATTGTACAGACACTAAGTAGAATTGCTGGAAACCAGGTATTGGTCAAAGAGACCAGAGGATAAAAATGAAAAGGCACAGACTTAAAAAATAAATAAAATAATAAAAAGGAGCCATTACCGAGTTAATGTTATTTGGTACTTATAAAGTTTCAAGAATATTAATGTTTGATATTGCAAACGAGAAAATTTGCACCAACAAAAATTCTTTTAGCAAGGAAATGCCCCCAAAGCATGTTTAAAATCTCTTAGACAACTCTATATGCAAACAATTGTGAAAATAAAAACTTTTGGTAAATAACATCCAAACAATACAAATGAAAAATGATGAAAGGTGATTTTAAAATGAAACAAAGAAACATGGTGAGCCTGATCTTGAGATAAATTCTTTAGTCGCTAAAAAACACAATATTTCAATTTCCAATTAACTTCAGGCAAACTCCTGGGACTGAATCAAACTTCCAGAAATTTTACATTTACATTCAGATTATTGTCTACATCTTTGCTATTATCACAACGTTTCAACTGTTGTACTCTCCAGCTTTCTTCAGGTGTCTGCCAATATGGATAACCTTCAGAGAATTTTGAATTAAACTCTCTTTAATCTACAAGGTTAGATTGTTCATATCCCATTTTGTTCTGCTCAGTTATTGCTCACCCTGTTTCTACTGTCTGCACTACCCAGCCCAAGAATTACCATGGCACTAAATTCAGAACAAGACGAGATATCCCCAGACATGGACAATGGAATGAGTGCAATCTACCCACATAGATTAAATGAAGGGCTCAATTTGAAATTTCCTGATGATTATCTGAATTGACAAGCACATGAAGGTGGCCAGAGAACAGCCAAAACATCATGATAGTAACAAGGATGAAGACAATAGTGTTATGGCAACTTCACATTGAAACACTGGTTCTCATTTGATCACCAAAGTTAAGCAATGTTGAGCCTGATTAGTACATGATTGGGTGACCACTGTAGAATACCAAGTGCTGTAAGCGACATGACAGGCCTAGCAAGCTGGCAATGAATACAAAACTCATGACATATACTAACAGAAAACATTAATATATGGAGGTGTTTCTGGACTGAGAGGTCACAAGTCCTACCTGGAGTTGGGTGAAAAGGACAATAGTCTGAATGTAAATAATGATAATTCTTCATCCAAGGTATTTACTAAAGTTAGCTTTTGGCACAAGGCCACAAGAATTGAGTGAGTACTGACCTGAAAACTCAATAATAATAAAGACGACCTTGCTAAGTATTAATGAAAGACAAGAAATAATGTATATAAAATTCTGTAACTTCCATTAGCCTGTCCATCTGTCACACCCTCTAAATAGCCATACCTTGACCAATCAAAACCAAATTTTGGAGTGAAGTGCAGAAAGGTAAGGGAGAAAAAATAAAGTTTATTCTTAAAACAGCTGAATATTCTTTTGAATGGACAAGAATCCAGTTTGCCCTGCATTTGCAAGAACTATAAACAAATCATGAAGCCAAATGCTTCAAAAAATTGGAATTTGGCTGCAGAAAGAAATATTTACACATGACCAGTTGTATGTTGCATGCTCAAGAGTAAGAAATCCCAAGAATTTATACTTCACTGTTAAAAAGGAAACAAATTTTCTTAAAAAATATTGTTTACCATGAAGTCCTATAAATTTAATTAAATTTTTAAAACTATTAAATCACGAAGTAGGGCTTTTGTAAAAGTATTTTTCCAAATAAATCAGCTTATTCAGATTTCATCTATTGGTTTGTAAAAATTAAACAAAACAGAGTTTGTAAATCTTGACATAAAATTTTAGCGATAACTTCAACAATACTAAATACTGTGAGGATTTCAACATGTGTCAACTTGTTGCAAAAAAAATTCTTGTATTATAAAATGTTACATAACAATACAAAGCTTCTCTTGAACAACAGTAGTTATGTAATGTGGCTCAACGTTTAGGAAGTGTTTGTGCCATTACATGGGAATTTAAACAAGTTTCAAAACTGAGTCATGTTTATTAGGTGTGTCTGTAGGAAATTTAGTGAGGTTTCCAGAATATCAGTGTGTGAAGATCCAATGGTGTCTTAGAGTTTCTGGAATGAGTTTAATATTGTACACACGATAGAAGTGGGGTAATCTTTTTGGAAGAAACAATCACCTGTAGAAAACAAGGAAAGCATAAAGCAGTGTAATGGGTCAGCAACTAGATCTATCACACGTGTCACAAAAGGTCCTTGCTAACCCCCAAAACAAACACCCCTTATCATTACGAAACAATCACCAGCTTGCAAAATGCCCTGCTGACAGATCCATAGCTATAGCAGCATTCAGTATCCTCTATGCATGAAATCAACCATATATTCAAAAGTACTGGAAATGTGGCATTGGCACCAGTCTCACACAGACTAACATGGATGTTCTCTGGATCATTTGTGTGGCAATAACTAATACTTGTGTGTCAATAATGGTACCTGTCTTGATGGCATTAAGTGCATATGAAGTGACAGCAGCATTGAACGAGGATGTAATCTGTTGCAGTATTCCCTTCCATTGAATGATTATCATCCCTATCAGTTGGTGGTGGTGGTCCTATTCTCACATCATTTGTTTTCTGTGGTACTAATGATCATTACACTGATTAACATGTTCGTTGCTCTTGTTATCTAAAAATGACCATGGGGAACAGCCACCAAAGATAACCTAAAAAGTTATTTTGACTAACATTAGCAAAACCGATTTTTGTCTAACAGGTATTTTTCACTGTTTGAATGTTTTGTTTGTTTGTTTAATGGCGTATTAACACCTTTATGGGTCATTTAATGCCAAAATTTAATTTTGTTGAGAGGTTTGAAGTAATAAAAATGTCATTCTGCTTTCACAATTGAATACATGGTAGATGATACTCAGCTTTTGTAAATATGCATGTTTGTTTATGTTATATTTTAGAATACAGTTTGATTTAAGAAATTGTAAGATATTATATGGATTAATTGTCATGAAAGAGATTTTTTTTGGGTTGGTTGATTTTGTTTAGCAGCATATCAACCTCTACAGGTTATTTAATGCCGAAATCTAAATATTTTGAATGCAATTATATGTCATCAACTCCAGATAAAATGTATTGTTGGACATTTTACTATATAAATAGGTATTGTTAATTTTTTTTATTAGAAAAAAGTATTGTTGGTAATTTTATTATAAAAACGTTTTTTTATACTTTCATAGTGTTTTGTTTTTGTTTGGGGGTTCACTATTTGTCCATAGCTGAGACTCTAAAAGGGTGCAACCCCTCCATATGTATTGTTGACAATTTCACGACGAAAATGGACTGGTGATTTTTTGTTTGGTGGGTGTTCACTATTTACCCATAGATGGCACCCTACAGGTGCTATCACTTTGGGTCAGGGTGAACCTGGGAACAACAACAGGAGGTGGTTCCAGGATCCTCAAAAATGCCAATCTCCCAATCAGAGGCCTTGTTGTCTAATGTAGTTTATCTTCATACCCAGCATGACTGTTCAAATGTAAGTTCTACAATATATCGTCAGAGATGACAAAATTGAATCAGTATAATTTTTTATACTTGAGCTTAGCAGAGGTTAAAAAATAAAGAACTACTGGACAAGAAAGGTATTTACTTTTCAAAAAATAGTTTCATGTTCAGATTAGCAATTTTAATATTTATTAACCATTTGTGTCAACCTTGGCTTGAGAAAAAAAATGTAAAATTCTTGTTTGAAAGTCACAAAAATAGGAATGAGGACTATTTTTGCAGAAGCGCCATTTTTTAGGTAGGCAGTTGGTTTGTGCCAACCTTGTCTTGAGAAAAAAATGCAAAATTGTTGCCTCAAAGTAGCAAAAGTAAGGGAAGGAATATTTTTATACTGGCACCATTTTTGAAGTGAGGGGTTATTTTGCCCCAGAAAAAATACACAAATAAACTAATCATCCTGAAATATTCCAATGGATATGAAAAAAAAAATGATACAATTTTATGATGATATGTTATAAAAATACAATTGTGATATTAATTAATTATCACCAAATACACAAACCAGTGGAGGAAAAAGAAAACTCTTAAAATCCCAGTGTGTGTGATTTACTGCATACAAGATCCATCTTTGATTATATACAGACAGGATATTTTTATGTCGACGCTGCTGCTAGACTGCTTACAATATGAGGAAGCAGATATGGAGAAACTGTTCTTTCAATGGATATATTATTAAAGTAAAAATTCACACCAGCTGAGAGAGCAGAAATTACACTAGTTTATAGAATCTTCAGTCAAATTTTAATTTCTAGATCATCACACAATGTATCTGTATTAACTAAACTAACAAGTAATGCTGTTTTAAACTTGTATAACCATATTTCTTGATATTTAACAGCATCCCCACAGGGATAAAATATGATACTTGATTGGGTCAATGTGAGATTCCCCAGACATAGTCAAGAAAAATTGCCATGTCATCATGACAGGTGTCATGAAGGTATTAAAATACTCCAACCTACCACTTCTCTGCAATGAGCAGATGCAGCTCTGGGGACAAATTTCCCAGGATCTCGCCTGTTTTTTTGAGTCTTGCTTTAAGATGTAAAAACAGCTGAGGTTATTTATTTACTGGCCCACTCAAGATGGTAAGTTTGACATAAGGTCACACTGTTGAGCCTCATACATGGACACCTATGTGATGTCAGAAATTTCTAGTTCCCTTAGCACTTACCTCTTTTTAAGGATACCTCAGGTATCCTTTCTCTTTGTGCAATAGGGAAGGTGCAGCTTGATGGAACAACCTCTTTGGAAATAGACTTGTTTAATTTTTGCCTCAGATTCTATAATGCTGCTGAACAGAGGAAGAGATACACAGTGATTTCAATCTAAATGCCAAGAAGCTTATCTCTCTACTGGTACTTAATAATTTCAATAACCCCGTGACAAAAGTGAAAAAAAAAAAAAAAAATAGTACACCAATTTTAAAATAAGCAAAAAAAAAAACTGGGGTTAAAATAAAGAATGCATATTCGTTAAAAATTATGATATTTTTTTTAACTTAAATGAAATTAATTTTGGCATATAATGAAATAAAAAAACCAAACATTCACTGGAAGTAGAAGACTGAATGGCCAATTAGTGTGATATTAAGCAAAAAAATTAATTTCGTTAGGGAAAACGTTAAAAAGTTTCTAGAAGAAATATTGAAATTTCTGAATAATACTACACACTGTTCTTTAAAAAATTCTTTTCGCATTATTAATTATTTCAAATAGAGTTCATCAACAGCTTGGGTGTTAAAAGCAATATTAACAAAAAAATCTTTCGTTACTGTTTATAATTTAAATAAATTAAAGACACACCAGTAAAAACTACATTATGTGCTTTGCAGCTTTTGATATTATTAACACTGAGAAAAAAAGAAAACCTTTCAATAAAAAAAAGAAGCTTAATTTACTAGATATTTACGAAAGACTAAAATTTTTAGTCTTTCGTAAATATCTAGTAAATTAAGCTTCTTTTTTTTATACTTTTTAGTCTAAAAAGTATCACTTCTTTTCTTTTTGGCAACAAAATAAAAATTCATTAAAAAAAAAAAAAAGACGTGGATATTGAAAACAAGTCGAATATTTTAAATACTTAAGATTAAGAACATGTACATACCAATTTCATTGATAAAGTAAATCAGCTGATTGAAAAATCTGTGTCAAACGTTCGAAAATACATTGAGTTTGTGATCGATATCAATCATCAGTGGCACCGAATAAATTGAACATATTGATTCGAGATGCTGCACAATTTATAAATTGTGTCATACGAAAGAGCTTTTTGAATATGCAAATTTTGGTAATTTTGCCCAATTACATATTAATAATACAATATTTAATATTAAGCATGTATCAACATCATTCAACTGCTCAAAATTACGTACAAGTATAGAAATTATATGAATAAGCTTGAAGATGTTAAAGACACAGATTTTAAAATTTAAAGTGGCTTTTTTAA